ACGTTGAATTATGTGCGGAGGTTGTGCAATATTGAACTGTGACTGTTGCGTAATTACGCAACAAGAAAGAAAGGAAGGAAAGAGATGTTCTTACGACACACTAAGAGAGGTGGGTCGTAACACAGGACTTATACATCTGATAATCTATTTGTATTTTAAGGTGATTTTATTGAATTATAAAATTAATAAATAAAACAAGTTGTAGTTATTTTTGTTTCAAAAATCGTGTTCACAAATTCATTTTTCTAATTATTCAGCTTTGAAGAAATGTGGATCTATTTTGTGTATTAATTTTTACTATAAGTAGTCAATATAACCACCATTTTTGACTTTCTGTACATTTTTTTCCTAAGTTAACCGGAATAAACAAACCACAATTATTAGAACTCCGGTAGTGTAAGGTTTTTTTTGTGAATATGCACACGAATGAGTCTAGAATCATTTTCATTATTATTTGATTTAATAAAAAGAAATTTAGTAACGAGAACGTTATCCTTCTAGGTGAAACATGTTTCTATACACGTGATATTGTGCTCTATGATGTTCTTGAATTATGCAGATCAAAACAACATTTTTGTGTTTTACGAAAACATTCCATAGGATCTTCTCTCTATAATTGTAAAGAAAGTGAAATTTTCTGTTATTGATGACAGTTTATCGTACACTTATATAAGCACTATGTCCTTCTTAAATAATTTTCATATTTTGCCAATGAAGTAGTATAAAGCTGTGTTTCTACAACATCTATGTCTAAATTAATTTCTTTTATCGTTTGTTAACTCCTCCCACTGAATACCAAGGCCAGAGGAGATACAGTTATATACTTGAACGCATAAGAAAATTGACTTATTTCTATGGCTTCTTCCTGAAGCAATCATCTTAGAACTTTTATATAGCTGAAGTAATCATTTTGATTTTATGGAGGAATTGAAGTAATCGTGTCATTTTGATGTGAAAGATAAAGTAATCGTCTTAATACATGAACTACTAGTAGCTTATACTTTATAGTGCGAAACTCTCTGTTGGCGAACATTGTTAATAAAAAAGTAGAGGAGCATATGAGAAAGAATAAAACATATTTTGCGCAATGCACTTTGTGAAATATGTTGACCTATACTTTATACAATATGCAATATAGAGTATCAACGTTGAATACAAGTAATACTCATCGTTTAGACGCAGGCGTTTTTTTTCTATACATGGTAGCCTCGAATTTGATCACCGTACGTGATCAAATTCGAACTCAAAAATGTGAACTGATGATCATCTGAAAATAGAATGGCATGTCTGCTCGTTTTTTTTGTCGATTAATCGTTGCATAATTACTCGTTGCTTTTCTTTCTTTGTCTCATATCTGATTATTATTATGTATAATCATCTCATTTTGCCTTTTTCGTATTTGGCACTACGAAGGTTTTCCTGGAAAAACGTATTGCTCGAAAAGAAGACTTTTGTTAAGTCATTTGTTGTTCACTCACATCTGTTTCGTTTGATTATTATTAGTTATTGGTGTTGGAAGAGATGGCTAACCAAAAAGATTTGGTAAGTGCAACGGTATTGGATGTATGTGTCTCAGACCAATGGTGTGAATTGATTGTAGCTTGACAAGATGTCGAAAGAGATTGATCGAGCAGAAGAGGCGTATGGAATTGCTCAGGTTGGTTTATCCGACTTTGATGCAAAGGACAAAGTCGAGAAGAAAAAAGAAATGGAAAGACATGTCGATGAAACAATTAATAACGTCGCACATGGGACCAATATCAATTCGGGATCGACTTAGCCAACAGCTGAGTTTGCTGAATATGTAAGTTAACTTTCCACTAAGTGGTTAGCTTGCACTGTTTGCATAGCTTCTCTAGCGGAATTAAATAATTGATCTTTACCCCCGTTTTTTTGAAAACAATTTTTAATTTTGAGATGAACATATCTTAAGGTAGAAGAAAGTCTGAGCTATAAAATGAGACCACTCTCGGAATTTCACGATCTTCGTTTATAAAGTTATGAATTTTTTAAGTTTTTCTTTCAAAGCCTTAAAACTTTTATAAGTTTTTCTTTCCTTTTTTGTACATCTAAAATTTTTTCTTATACATAGTCTGACAGAAGAACGTCTGCTGTTCAAAATGAGATGCTTGCCAGGATCTTATGAGGAGTTTTCATGAAGATATAAGCGTCGACCCGATCAAGCTGAAATTTTTACTACAAATACTTCAGACTCTATCTCAGGCTCATTTTTTTCTTAAGCGTTTTCGAATTCAACTTTCGCGCGTGAGAAGGTTTTTAAAATAAAAAACTAACTTTTTTTATAGGATTTTTAGTATTTTTTGAATATCTTCAGAAGGAGAGTATATTTTTTGAAAAGAACAAAAAAGAACATGAAATACGACCATCCATGGTAAAAATTCCAGCTCGACTGGATCACTTTTTCGATCGGTCGTAATGCGAGTGGATGAAAACTAGAGTTTTCTACAAAACCCATAGAAGAACATGTCAGAAAATTCTGGGCAAAAATACATCGATTTTCATTTCGATGTCCTCTCTTTTTTTAAGTTTTTGATGTAGAAAACTCGCTCAAAACCTCTCATGAAACCTTGAAAAGTGGTTTTCTGTAGGTTTCGCGACGTGCTCTAGCAGTTGGACAGATCAAAAATCTTTTTTAGCGCAAATGGCTTTTCGGCTTTAAAACCAAGATCTTCAAAAACCGGGGCTTTAAAGTCAAAATTAGCCCAAACCATTATGAAATTCGGAATCAGCATGCTCGATTATCCCCGGTCAACTGAGTCTCAGCTCAAAAGCGAGGGAACACTTGGTGGCCTTCCCTCGTAAGATTAATAATACAGAGATAAATTTGCTCTGTTCATGCTGACAAAATGATACTCAATGATTTTAGATGACCCTCAATCATTCTGTTATGATCCTATATGAAACCATGATCCTCGAAAACCGCTTTTTTCCCCTTGAGCTAGAATCACTACTCCCAGTTACTATGCATTAGAAGAAAGGAACAATACCATAGACAATATGAACTACAATAGCGCAAATAATTTTGGCCTCTTAATAGTTACGATGCCCACGTTAATAATTTATACTTCGCTTCAACAACAAACGCGAACCAATACCATTAAAGATTCCGATCAGATCAAGTTTGAAGAATTGTATTCAAAATTCCTGGATACTCTGTCGTGTCCGTGTTCAAAAATTGATCTTGGCTATAGCTATTTGATTTCAATTCGTCCTTCATTTCATCCAGTATGCTTAAGCTATTATGCAGATTACGAGTGGTTTGAGTCTCTTTACAAAGCATAATTCAAGAATATAATATAGATCAATTTTTAAATGATTAGTTTGTGTACGATTAATTTTGTGTGTATTGTTAGTAATGGTGGATACTTTTGAAATGAAAGCAGAGATGGAATCGGTTCGTGTTTTTCTTCAACTGACCCGAATCGAGAAATTTTCTTTAAATCTAACCAAAGTTAAAGTAATGGGAAAAGCTCTTTGTCTTCATCATTCGAACATTTCTCACTTTAGTTCTTTTTTCCATGAGTATTTTTTTCTCTGTAAAACAATGGCTATGAATTATCGACATGAAGTACCAGGCAAACGAGTTGGATTTATACCCCAAAAAGTAGTATTATACAAAGATTTTAGTATTAGTAAAACTTTCTATTACTTCGGTCGGTTACATGATATGAAATGGAAAGACATATTAGAAAGAGAGACTTTTCTATTATCCCTATTAAACTTACTATCAAAGACAAGAACAATTAAACAATTTAGGTAAGATGCCGTTAACCATGAATGGTTCGACAAATTTTTCTGAGTGTGAGTGGATTCAATAATCGTGCATTCTTTCATTGCGCATTTGGGTTGCAGTTTTTCCTTAGAAAAGATAAGATAACGACAATGCGAAAATTGAAGAGACTGAAAAATCAGAAAAAAGACTGACTAAATTAGTCCTCTTGAAATCAGAATATTTTTTTGACATGATTCAACAACAAAAATTTTGGCTTCGACCTGAATGTCTGGATAAATATTATAAAATGAGTCTGCCATTTTCTCTCCTCCTTACGAAATCACCTTTAAAAATGTTTCTGACCATTTATGTGATATTTTACGTTTCATTGCATCTATTTGTCTCAAAAATCGTCCGCGGTTTCCTCATTAACGTTGAAATGTCTTAATGTCAAATAAAGAAGCCACCACTCCACGCACCAACAGTAATTAATTCAAGTCAGACTTTAAAATGTGCGATTGTCCAGGCTAAAAACAGATATATTTACATGTTGTAAAATACATAAATACTTATTCGCTTTACCTCTTAATACAACACATCTCATTGCATCAATTGTGTTTGTTAATGGTGTGAAACTGCTTATCGTACGCAGTATAGGATGCATACCCTAAAATAATAAGTGTGTGCCAGAACTATGTAAACAGTACAGCAATCATACTTCTCTTGGCCAAAAGATAACTGAAACGGAGATCGATGCAATGAATGAAAGAAACAAACAAATACAGAAGCATCGAAATTTAACTTACCACTAATTAAAACTATTGGAAAAACACTACCAAGTGGAATCTGTACAACTTCTATTTCACTTCTATTTCATGTACGCAAATGGATGATGTCAATAAATCTATAAGGATCCATTGGAATGTGAAAAGTTCTTAATCAAAAATCAAAACTGGAGATCTTGGGACTTGCATACCGTAAATCATCGAAGTGAGCATCGTTTAGAGTCACTTTTAGGAATGAAAAAATTTGAATAAAAACTGTTTCAGGAAGGGTTTCTTAATGTAAGTTGAGTCATTGTATTATATCACGTGGTAATCAAAGAGTCCCTGTAGGGCATCGGAGTAAAATCAGTATTTGAACCACCCACTCTTTTAGTCGTGAAATAATTACTTGTACATGTTTTTCCTTATTAGGAATCAAGAATAGTTTAGATGAGAAAGAAAGTCGATTACTAAGTTTCTCATGCATTTTTGGCGGTAATTAACAATTTTAAATAGAAAGTTACTATTTATGAAATAAAACAATGGCCATGAATTATTTCACAGTTTTGTATATATGGTTTGTTTTCTCAGTGTAGGGCACATTATTTGACATAAAGCTAGTTAGATTTGAAACAAAGATGGAGAAAATAATATTAGAATCATATTTGATCATGACAATTGGTATGGTAGTTGAATTAGTGTTTACTTAAATTAGAAAATATAGGACATGAAAACTTTATACTTGTGGGTTATTCTCAGACAATTGTAAACACATCATGAAAAATCATCAAGTTACCGGTACAAATGAGATCAACCAAACAAAGATTAGTACAAAATACACATCAAAAATTTGTTCAAACATTACAATAATCAGATGGAATAAATAAACAAACTCTTTCAGACCGGACATCATTTGCATCGGAGATGGGATCGGTTCGGCTTCAGTAAATGTTCCTAGTAGATAAATGTTTTGAAACTTGTAATCGATAATGTTTATTTTAAAGTATGACCAGTATACAGAACAAATATCCAGTTCTTTATGGACTCGTTTACTTTTCAAAAACTCATACAAACCTTTCTAAAAGTATGAAAACTGCCCTAGATTTCTCGACTTTTCTACTGATCTCTAAACAGTCGCGGAATGCCTAGCAACTGAGTAAAAGATCTCTAGGTGTCGCAAATCATACCCACTGTTCATCACACGAGGCATCGAAAACAAGTACAAATCTAAAAGTTTTTAAAACATAAACCTCTTCTAAAAGCGAAACGAAAACACTTCGGAAGAGAAAAAATACTCATGGAAACAAAGAACTAAAGTGAGAAATGTTCGAATGATGAAGACAAAGAGCTTCTGGTTGATCTAAATCTTTATTGTGTAAATAATAAGGCCAGCGGCGAACCATTTTAGGCCATGCATAATATAGGCTACATTAAGTGATAAAGTGTAACAGGTGGAGGATGAACAGTGACATAATATATAAAAAAGTTAAAAACGTCGAGAAAAGCGAAAATAACCTAGACTAGACAGAGAAACGTGGCGTGGACTAATTTAAATTTTATTAAAACTTATTAACGTTCTACTAGCTAATCATCAAATCTGTTAGTTTGTTTAACGTAAAATACAACTACTTTTAAAACAATAGGAAGTGAAACCTCGTCTAGATTAAGATCATTCAGCAATAGTGTGTCGACTGTAATCGTGGTCAGAAAATGTAGTTCATGTTTCAGATTTTGTCTCTCATTGTGATAGAGACGGCACTGCAGAAAATAATGTTCAACATCCTCCTTTCCATTCCCACATTTACATTTAGGCGAGTCTATACACTTATGTTTACGCAGATAAAAGTTTAAAGGCGGAAAACCAGACTTTAATCTCATAAAAAAGATTTCGTCTCGTCTAGCAGGAAATTTTAATTGCTTTAGAAATAACTTGGATGTTAAAAGCTCAGATTTTAATATATTGCGCATTTTTGAAATCTTCATTGTTAAAAATTTTGGATCTTTCTGTATCAGATTATTCCATTCTTAAGTTACTACAGTAAAAAAATCGTCGTCAGTACTGTCTATCGGATCGATTGTAGATTTTTGATTACTACGTAAACTATATCTATCATGAGGCTGATGGCGTTGCAAATGAACAGTAACATATTGAGGAGTAAAACCTTTTACTATTTCTGTAAAACATAACAAACGAAGTATTCTAAAATGATCTTTTATTGGGATCCAACCTAAAATATCAAATAATTTGTCCTTCGCTGATCCCTTCATTGCTCCTAAGGTGGCTAAAGCAGCATAATACTGCATACTCTCCAGTTTATTCAAATTACTCGATGTAGTCAATGAGTAAATGCTAACACCGTAGTTCAAAATTGATAGTACACAAGATTTAAAAATAATTTCAAGTGCATTTTTAGTCAATAAAAGCTTATGCAGTTTCATTAATCCTACAATAGACGATGCCTTAGTATGTACCTTCTCAGTGTGATATGTCCACGACATGTCACTCGTAAAAAACATACCTAAGTATTTAACTACTTCTTTTGTGTAATCGGAGCACCGTATAACATCGAGGATGGTATCAAGGTTGAATATTTGGTTATTATAATAGGTCAAATGTTCATTGATAAATACGTTCTTGAACTCATCATGGTCACGGCAACGTTTCCGAGACGAATAAAAAGCGTTACGATCAGTAAATCTCAGAAAACTAACAATAATTGATTGTTTCGTCTTGTCCACTGAATTTTTTGTAGGTGGTAAACGATGAATTGCGTTAAAATCATTTTTCTTTAGTGTTAAATCCAATGTATTACCTAATTTTAAGACAATATCAGTGACATTTTCATCTTTCGTATATGAAATTCCATACATAAGAAGATCACGTCGCTTTCCATATTGCTCCAGTTGATTCAAATCATTTTGTACCAGCCTTAATTCATCTTTCGTATCTTTTAACTCGTTAGTCAATTGTTTAATTAGTTCATCCTGTCGTTGACATGCTTTATTTACTATTGTTTCAATCGATTGCATGAATACATCAGATGTTAATAAGGGTGTGAAAGTATTTTTGATTAACTGAGTTAAATTAATGTTGTCATTGCTGTGTCCATTGTCGTTTTCAACGATTTCGACTTTTTTAATCAAGACGAATTTATAGGCGATGGCGGACTATGACGAATACTATGTTGCATGGTCTAACTATGTGACAGTATAAAGAAACCTTACAGAATATGACTTGTCACCATGAAAGAAAAACGAAAAGTGGGCTTTTGGTTAGATTTAAAGAAAATTTCCCGATTCGGGTCAGTTTCATAAAGTTTCGGTTAAAAGTTTTCTAATATTGAAGTCTTTGTATAATGCTGCTTTTTGGGGTATAAATCCAACTCGTTTGCCTGGTACTTCATGTCGTCTAGTGGCCGGTTTCGAACGGAGGACTAATATTCGACCACTGTCCAACTGTATAGTCATAGCTCTTACCGGTTGCTGATCATCTACCAAGTTTGAGTCTATTTTACTAGATGATTCGTGAGATATAAGCGATTTATCAACTGAACAGTATTAACAATCATTGATCATAACAGGTGTTTGTCAATTATGGTTACTCCTTTGTTCTTGTACACAAACGATTTTCATTATTAGTTCATATCAGAGGAATAAATTTTATGCAATTATGTCTAATTATAGTTTTTGTAAACGTATTAAATGTCAATCGCAAACATCAAAACGCTTTAAATTTGGAATATATGCGGCAGTTACACTATGTTTGATTACTATCATATCTAATACAATAGCATTTTTTGTTGCCTTTTTTGGTCCATCTAAATATATGAAAGTATTTCAAATACTCTTAGCATCCTTTCATGAAAATTCGACGATCGCACGTAATATAGCTTATAAATTATTTTATTTGTTTATTACAGTTTTATGAATCAGCAGCTTGGATTTTACCGCCAGCTTTATTTGCCATTCTATGTCTAATTGTATACAGTGAATTTGAACACTTCAATGAATATATTAAACAAGAAGTTCAACTGTCAAATGCACAACAGCGAATTGAATATTGGCGTCAGTCTCATAAATGACAATTTTCAAATGACGTTCAATCAGCTGACCATATGCTGTACAATGCTGATACTCATGGAAAATGCTGAATATGATTTTTCGAAAAAACGTTTTTTGAAAAAAAAAAGGCTGGGGTCTCCCACCCGGACTGTGCAGCGGAAATTCTGCCGCTGAATAGTGTCATGAACATAATTCACTTTAACTACATTTCTTTTATTTTAGATGATGATGTTATTTAATTCTATTACAGGTGATGAAATTGGAATGTCAACCTGTGGCATATTGATACTGAGAAAGGAAACAATACTTGCAGTAAATCTCTATTATTTTTTAAACTTTATATCTAAAATATTCAAATATCTTTCTTTCAGATTTTTACCACAATTATTTCATACTTCTTGGTCATTTCGGAGCTTAAATCGAACACTGTTGAAAGTTGTAAAAGTTTAGTCACAAACTCGACTGGACAGATTCACAGACTTATGAAGTGGAACAGCAGTCGCTCTTTTCACTGAGCTTGAATAAAAGCAAAAGTAATGATCAATTTATATCTGAATACTGTTCAATGATTGAGTCAATTTTTCGCAATACTTTTTTCTAAATTAATTGTTTTAAAAATAACAAGAATATTTATTCACTTAATAAAACTGAATGTTAGTTGTCAATCTCGTATAGATAATTTTGACTTATTTTAACCTTATACCAATATATGAAGCTAGAACAAGAAGGAGAGCGAGAATCGATCCTTTTTTGATCTCTTTATGATCCGCTTGTGATCCATTTATAATTATTTGATCTCAATATGATCTCGTGTGTCTTTCTATCCTCTATAAATGCGTCAGGGAATTGGAAAGAGTATGCGGGAATGACTGGAGCTCGGTTCAAGCTCAAGTTGTTGATCAGCATGTTAGCAGACAGTTGCAAATTTTTCTTCATCTTGTCGGTTAATTCAGTTAAAGTTATTTTTAAGAAGGCTGTCATTTCATTACTTGATATGAGATATGAGCCAGTGCTGTAACTGGAATTTTTTGATCCTTGAGCAAATCTCTATTGAGTAGGCATGCACCAGTTTTTAACTGGTGTTGGGGCATTCGGGAGAATTGCTACAAATCAGTTACCACGATTCTCTCAGAGCTGTAAAACATCTAATTTTGTAGAAAAATGTTTGCTCTACAAAATGCATTTGTTAAAAGAATTCCAGAATCATTTC